AATAGAATCTCCCACATGTGTAGACACAAAAACGGGAGAACTCAAATAATCATGAGATACGCCCAAATATGAGGCAAAATAAGATGACACACAGGAATAAGTGGAGCCTAAATCGAATAGAACCATTGCATCTCTATGATAGACCGGAACAATGCCTGTAGTGATAGAATTAGAAGCAACTACCTTTGTACGAGTAGGAAGCGCATAGTATCTGGCCTGGCCTCCCCCTCTAAGGAATCCTCTACCTCCCTGACCTCCACCTCAAGTTGGCTGAGCAGGTGGGGTGGTTACTGGTGCGATAATCATAGCTTGAGAAACCTGTAGAACATGTTGTGCCTGAGAAGTCTTTGGAGGCGCACCCTTACCAAGTCTGGGGCAAATCCTTACAACATGGCGAGTGTCTCCATACTTAAAACAACCTCGCTGCTGATGTGGGTGTTGGAACTATGCTGCACGGGTACTCTGATACCCATGAACACCCGAAACACTGTGCAAAACCTGAAACGCAAAATGAACTAGCTGACCCACAAAACCTCTACCATGTCGTACCCTGCCTCCAAAATAAGGACCAATGGATCTCTCCGGTCTACGAGGTCTCCTCGCCTCCCTATACTCTCTCTCATGACCTCGTTTGTCCTCTCTCTCTCCTGGAACCACATGTCCTCTACTCGGCGAGCAATCCTTACCACCTGCCGAAATGGGACCACATGCCATGTCTACATGACACCTAAAACCTGACTAATGTGAACTCACTGATCTAGAGTGTGTGCGGTGGGAGTCTGGGCCCCCCTCCCAATGCTCATGAACTGTGCAAGGGTCTCCTGAAGAGCTGGAGTAGTAGTAGTAGGCATATCAGGTGCTTGTGCTCCGGCTGGAGCTGCTGGTGGCTCCTTTATAGTGGCTCGCTCGAGTGCTCTGGCTGCACCACATTGGTGTCCTCAACCTCTACCCTGGCCACGGCTTGTAACGGTGCTAGTAGGGGCGGGGGTGCCTATTCATCTCCAGTAGCACGTGTCCTCACCATCTGTGAGAGAATAGAAGATAAAACTTTTAGGATTTCGAAGTCAATAATCTCGCACGACAAGAAATCAAATGAAATGGAATTTTTCTAACAGTTCCATAGCCTCCCGAAGATAAGTATAGACATCTCCATACCGATCTGTGAGATTCTAAAAAATGGGCTTGTGACTCACGACTCCTATGAACCTATAGCTCTAATTCTAACTTGTCACGACCCAAGTTATCCCTCCGTGAACCGTCATGATAGCACTTAGTCTCTACAACTAGGTAAGCTTAACATTTGCAGAATAATAAAATGATATAATAATTTTAGCAACTAACTATAATAGAATGACATAACTGAATACCATGCCGCTTGGCATGTACAATAACCAATCATTCAGAAATACATAATATGACTAAAACCCAGAGCATCATGAGTCACAAACTACAACAAGAAAATATTATCTCTATACTCCAGAGTCTAGCAAAAGGAACTACAGGAAGTGCTTGACACGGGGAAGAGTAGAAAGGGACTCTGAGGTCTGCGGATGCAACAGATATACCTTGAAGTCTCTATAACTGGTTTGCCTTACTGATAATGCAGCTGATAAGCGGTACCTGGATCTGCACACGAAAAACATGTACACGGAAGGGCATGAGTACACCACAATGGTACCTAGTAAGTGCCACGCCTAATCTTAGTCGAGTAGTGACGAGATCAGGTCAGGGCCCTACTGGTATATATAAGACAGAATAAAATATCGAAGTAAAGATAAATACTAAAACTTAACAAGAATGAAATCACAGAAAAACAATAGTTGAGTACATAGAGATAACAATAGGGGGTCTCACAGGATACCGTGCCATAGTCCCGAACGTAAATGTGCAAAGGGGGATCTACCAGAATACTATTCAGCAGTCCCAAAGTAAATATGCAGAACAGGGGGATCTACCGGAATACCGTTCCGTAGTCCCAAAGTAAATATACAGAACAGGAGAATCTACCAGAATACTGTTACGTAGTCCCAAAGTAAATATGCAGAACAGGGGGATCTACCGGAATACCGTTCCGTAGTCCCAAAGTAAATATACAGAACAGGAGAATCTACCAGAATACTGTTACGTAGTCCCAAAGTAAATATGCAGAACAGGGGGATCTACCGGAATACCGTTCCGTAGTCCCAAAGTAAATATACAGAACAGGAGAATCTACCAGAATACTGTTACGTAGTCCCAAAGTAAATATGCAGAACAAGAGAATCTACCGGAATACCGTTCCATAGTTCCAAAGTAAATATGCAGCTTAAACAAAAAAATTAACAAATACAGCAAGAAAACCTACAAATTCGACTAAGTACCAGTCAAGGAAAAACAAAAATTTCACTAAACATGCTGCCCAGAGTTCAGATAAGCAATTGAGGCAAATAAACAGGCTATTCTAAGCTAACATGATACTACACATGCAGATAAAACTCAAATAAGAAGAAGAAAGGGTTATTACTCAGTAAAAAACAGATTTTACAACAATTAGCCCTTGTACGTACTCGTCACCACACATACATGGAGCTCATATATCATAACGGTACCAAATCTTAAGGGGAGTTCCCTCACACAAGGTTAGGTAAGCCACTTACCTCAATCTAAACTCAAATCAATCCGTAAAAATGTTTTTTCCACGAATACCTAGCTCCAAATGGCCTAAATCTAGCCAAAACCAATTACATAACATAAATATAGCTACAAGAACTAATTTAGCTAACGAAATCAAATCTAAGGCAAGAAATTAGAAAAACGTCCAAAAAACCCTCCTCGAGCCCACATCTTGGTATCGAGTAAAAGTCACAAAATATGAACACCCGTCCACTAACGAGTTCACTCGTACCAAAATTATCCAAATCTGATATCAAAATCCCAATCAAAACTCGAAATCTTAGTGGAAGAACTTCTTTCCATTTTTTCAATTTTCACCGCAAATCTGAAATTAAATGCTAAAATTAATAATAGATTAGTGTTCTATAACAAAAATCAAGTTAATAATCATTACCCAATTGATACCTATGAAAATCTCTCAAAATCTCATCCAAATCCGAGCTCCCAAACTCAAGTTTTGATAAAAAAAATGGCTAATCATCGATTTTAAAATGTTTATATCTGCCAATGTGCTCACACTATGCGATCGCAGAATAACTCATGTGATTGCGTAGAAAAAAATTCCAACCCATTTAAAAATATACTATGCGAATGCGTCAACACACACGTGATCATGAACCACTGACTACTCACCTCTATGACGTGTTGCCCTCACGCGACTGCATTGAAACCTCAGTTAAACTTCACTACTACTTCAATACCTCTTCGCGAACACGGTCTAGCCCACGTGTTTGCGATGCACAGCCTGACCAACATATGCGATCACATCCCTTCACTCGCGAACACATAAGGCAAATTTACACTGCCCTCAAACAAACCTATGCATTCACATAAGAGAAAAGCAGCAACTGAACACCAGCAAATTTCTGCAACCTTCCAAGTCCAAAAACTAGTCCGTTAAACACCCAAAACTCACCTGATGCCCTCGGGACCTCAATCAGACATACCAACAAGTCCTAAAATATCATATGAACTTAGTCGCGCCCTCAAATCACATCAGATAACGCTAATTTCACGAATCACCCTCCAATTCAAACTTAAAGAACTTGAAACTTCAAATTTCCATAACCGATGCCGAAATCTATCAAACCACGTCCGATTGACCCCAAAGTTTACACACAAGTATTATTCAACACTATAGACTTATTCCAACTTCCGGAATCAGATTTCTAACCCGATATCAAAATTTCCACTATTAGCCCAAAACTCCAAAAATTTGACTTTCGTCATTTCAAACCAAAATGAGCTACGTGCCTTAAAACACAATTTAGACATGCCCATAAGCCCAAAATAACCCAACGGAGCTAACAGAATCGACAGAATTCCATTCTGAAACCATCTGCATACTGTTCCGACTACGGTCCGAATTCTAAGACTTAAGCTTCCATTTAGGGACTAAGTATCCCAAAACACTTCAAAAATCAATCGGGGAAAAACAGTTAATGGGGGGATTTGAGGCTCTAACTCTCAAAACGACTGATTGGGTCGTTACAAATTAATATGAATGCAAATAAGAACTTTCCCCTTTTGTTTTTCCAATCATTTAGATTTGCCAATATTACTACATAACACAACTTTAGAAGAGTAAAAAGTTTAATCATACACAAAAGGTCAAATGATATACAATTCAGTACCTCTAGAAACAATACATCCAATATCTATGTTGAACTGACCGTGCAAGTCATGCTCTTTGTGCATGGTGAATGGGAAGATGTTTCATTGCGCCAAAGAAACCACACGAGGAAAATTTCTCCAGTTTAGTCATGATTAAAATGAATGTTACGTTTCATCAAAATTAGGTCCTATATATAATGTCCTATTTCTGCTATTTTCTATCACATAGCTTTGGGCCATTTTCAGTTAGTTGGTTATAACTTTTTTTGGTCCAAGTCTGGTTGGTCTGAAGTGTAGCAATAGTCACTTTTAAGTTCATTATTTAAAATATATTCATAATTTATAATGTATTTAAAGATTAGTCAATTCATCCAAATTTCAGAACTATACAACAACAACAACAACAACAACAACTACCCAGTAAAATCCCACATAGTGGGGTCTAGGGAGGGTAATGTGTACGCAGACCTTACCCCTGCCCCGAACGGGATAGAGAGGTTGTTTCCAATAGACCCTCGGCTCGATAAGACGAAAACAAAGTAAAAAAAGGAGAAAATTCATTAGTAAATCCAGTAGAAATCAAAATAGTAATAGAAACATAAAAACTGAAAGATGAATGACATGCAATAACAGTAACCATAATCTACGACCCGGGTCTAAGACAAACAACAAGAATAGTGTGGGATCAATATAAACTGCAAGCCATCTAAGACCAACCCTAATCCAACCCCGCCTCACCCCGCGAGGGTCTCTCCCGGGATAACCTTACAATCATTGCACAGCCCTCTATCACACCTTTTGAGGAGAAGGTAATCGATCTGAGTCTTCGCCACTGAACTCTGGAAAGTAACCAGATGCTCCTCCCTCTTCGGAAAAGTCGAGTTCGCAATCACCAACTCGAAGGCCTTAGCGAAGTCTAACAGTGAAGTACCTCTTCCGTTCCTATCCCCAAAGCCAAAGCCATCATGCACTTCGCCATAACTACCAGCAACCACCCCAATATGGCCATTAAAATCCCCACCAATAAATAACCTCTCAGTAGGTGGAATACTACGCACCATCTCATCCAAGCACTCCCAAAAGCGCCTCTTAACCTCCTCATCCAAGCCCGCCTGCGGGGCGTAGGGGCTAACGACATTGAGGGTGCACTCACCGATCACCAACTTAATAAATATTAGCCGATCATTCACTCGCCTAACCTCAACCATAGACTCTCTAAGATCCATATCCACTAAGATACCCATTCCATTCTTACCTCTCACGACTCCAAAGTACCACAACTTATACCCATTCGCATTCCCCGCCTTCATCCCTGCCCACCTAGTCTCCTGGACACAAGCTATATTAACCTTTCTCTTCTGGAGAGCCTTTGCCAACTCAATAGACTTACCATCAGCGTGCCTATGTTCCACGACCCTATCCTCAATCTACAAGCTCCCTCTTTCCCCTTACCCTCCTTTCCTCTCGTCCCAACCACTGATCCCCTCCCTGCCCCCCTACTCACCCCCGGTACCCCTCGTGGACATGACCTTACTCTACCATCCCACACCACAACCACTATACCTATGCCAAACTCTGGAAGACACTAACACTGACCCAAACTATAAAATAACCGATTGCAACTACAAGAATTCTAATAATATGTTTAAAGTGATGCTAACTAACTAGCCACAAATTAACGAACATAGAGAAAGACACAAGAAAACGGGAGGTACCAACTTCTGATAGAAAGAACCTGGAAATATGACTTGATGCGCCCGGTGATGCTCCGTTATACTCGCCCATATGCCTTGCACTTGCCTGAGCAGACACAGCAATTCCCGCGAATATAACCCGAGTGCTTTGGAACCCAACGTCCAGCCTTTTGTGACTAAAAAATGGCCTGCTCTGCTTTGCCCGTCCACCTCCCACCCGTCACCAAACCGCCACCAAAAGTGCTACCTGAAATGCATACAACACACCACAGGACCAAGAAAAAGGGGGGGGGG